AAAGCAGGTAATTTGCTCATCCCAGTGGACTTTGAAAGGAAGGACTCGGCCATGGCTTTTATCCAATCATGGTTGCTAGAACTGGAATGTGGGAGATTTATAATATGATGGCCTTGATCCACACGATAAGCTGTTTCACCCGTCATCGCAGCTGGAGTGGCAATGATTAATGACAGAGAAATGTCTTCCTGCATCAGCACAGATGTGTTCTGCTTCTAAAGTTAAGCCGCCCGTCAAATTACCTTAATTTCTTTCTTTTCTTTTTTCTTTTTCCAAACATTTCCAGGCAAAAAGAAGGATCCTGAATGATTTGCAGCATTCTTTATTCAGCCAGAAATGGCACATTTGCACCCACAGATAAAAGGAATTGGAGACTGATACAGCAACCTCGGTTGTTACGCAGCTGCTTTCCAGTTTAGAGGGAATAAAGAGAAGTAAATTCGGAAACAGCAATTTCAGAAACCAAAAAGATAAGTAGAGATAAGAGAAAGTTAATTCTTAGGCTTTCTAACATCCTTCTTTAAAACTGGGAAGGTCATGGCGGGCTCAAGGCTGCCAGCAACTTCCTGGATTGTTGTTGACATGATGATTCAGAGGTTTCTTAAGAATCAGGGAGGCTATAATCTTTACATCCTGTTTTTGAAAAAATAATACAAGAATTCCAGGTCCCTGATGAGAGAGAAAGAATCTTTAAAAGTTTGTTCTCTGGGGCAGAATTTACCAATGTTGGCAACTTTTAAGACTTGCGGACTTCAACTCTGGCTGGGGAATTCTGGGAGTTGAAGTCCTTAAGTCTCAAAGTTAGCAAAGTTAGGAAACCCTGCTCCAGGCCATTTTATCTTTTGCATCAGGCCTTGGCTAAACGTCTTGGGAGTCTGTTCTCTCCATGTTTGATGGATCTGCTTGCTTGTTTTCCTCTTTTATCTTTTTCCAGTTTGCAAGTTTAAGAAAGGCTACAATCATTATGCTTACTTTTTGTAGCTTAGGCAAACAGCGCCCTCAGCTGGCAGTCTCTGGAATATACTACCGTATCTGTCAGGAAGGGACATTTCTCCTTTGCCAGTGAAGATCAGTTAAATGTCTATCTTTAAAATCGTTTCGGTATGCCATTCCTCCCACTTAAGGATACTGTAGACAGCATAGGAAGATCTTTTATAGCAGGTCAGACTTGCTATCAAGCCCTGGAGTTTTACATGTTTTTCGAAGGCCTACTGGAATGTGGTTGATGAGCCAAATCTTATGAGATAGCCCTACTTCATATTCTCTTTGTATCTGCATGCATGGTGGGAGGCTACATAACCATGTTCCCATGTGGTTTAGGATATCTAATTTGATGGGGGAGGGGGGGCAGTTGGGAAGGAGCACCGGTGGATCACATAACCAGCCCTGGATGAACCCTGTTCATCAATCCTACAATCCTACACTTGATGAATTTGATGAACCGAAGCCGGCCTTCTCAAAAGTCCTACCTGATAATGATGTGTGCCTGCTTGGGAAGCTGGCTGGCCAATCAGTGAGCCAAGTCAAAATAAGGTAAAGGTTCCCCTCGCACGTACATGCTAGTCGTTTCCAGCTATAGCGGGCGGTGCTCATCTCTATTACAAAGCCGAAGAGCCAGCGCTGTCCAAAGACGTCTCCGTGGTCATGTGGCCGGCATGACTAAATGCCAAGGATGCACAGAACGCTGTTACCTTCTCAGCAAAGTGGTCCCTATTTTTCTACTTGCATTTTTTACCTGCTTTCGAACTGCTGGGTTGGCAGAAGCTGGGACAAAGTAACGGGAGCTCACTCCATCCCATGGTGCTAGGGATTCGAACCACTGAACTGCCGACCTTTCTGATCAACAATCTCAGTCTTAGCCACTGAACTATGGCATCCCTTAAGTCAAAATAACAGAATAACGAATGTTGGAAGGAACCTCGAAGGTCTTCTAATCCAACCCCTTGCTCAAGCAGAAGACCGTATACCATTTCAGATAAATGGCTGCCCAATCTCTTCTTCAAAACCTCCAGTGATGAAGCACCCACCACTTCTGAAACCAAACCGTTCCACTGTTTAATTGTATTAATTGCTGTCAGGAAATTTCTTCTTAGTTCTAGTTGGTTTTCTCCTTGATTAAATTCCATCCATTGCTTCTTGTTCTGCCTATCATGTCCTATCATGGAACATTCTCTTCCAATTCTCTTTTTTTCTACAATAAGCACTTTAGGGTCACAATCACACCTGTGGCCTAAACATGCTCAGGCCCCATCCATTTGGTTGATTTAACAACCATTTAGTGACTGTTCAAAGTTACACTGAAAAGAGTGGCTTATGACCGATCCTCACTATTACAATCAAACTGTGATGATCTGGGGCATAGCACAAAGGCAACACAATCAGATAATTGGGAGGAGTCCCTCTGTTAGCTCCAACTTTGCCCGCAATGTCCTGGTTACCTTCTGAGCTGGAGAAAAACTTTCCAAGGAACAGCCTTTGGCTGCAGAGAATCAAGTCCAAAACATGGTCAACAAACACTGTAACTATAAGTCCAATCAAGGCAAAATGAGGTAATTAGTCCGACAGGGCAAGAGAAGGAATGGCAGTAATTCAACACAGTTGGGAAGATGCCAGGAACACAGATAACCAAAGTCAACACAAGATAAACTCACATTTGTTCCCAGCAGATCCCGCACTCAGCATGCATCTCTTTTAAACTCTCTTCCCAGCTGTGGCTAATGAAGGGAATCAAGGCCCTTTCCTCCCCCTAAACCACACAACCCATGTCGCTCTCTTCTCCATTCCTCCCTGCATGCCCTAGGATGAAGAGGGGGTGGGTCTTCCTCTGAATTCCCTCTCCCTTGTTCTACCTCTCCCCTGCTCCGCCCAGCCAAACTTTGCCCTTCCCCAGTTTCCTCCACAGCCAATGGAGCCACACTCCCACTCCATGTCAGCTGTTCGTCTTCCTCCTTGGATTCAGAGTCCGACAGGGGCATGACACACACCACATACCCAAAGTCAAAATTTGGGTGTCAACCCTGAAGCTGACTTGACCGAAGCCATTTTTTACCGCTTCAGTGTTGCCACAGTGTTGGAAGTGGGGGATAGGGAGGGGGGGGACTTGAGATAGAAGGGACTCTGTAGCCAAAACAAAGTATTTTCTCTTGGGAACCAAGGGCATTCTCACACCTGGTCAGAGGAAGATGGAGTGATACTACCCAGCTAACAGTCCGCACTGTGATTTGGATCATGTGACTGACTGTTTTGAGAAAGTAGACAAATTTTTAATTAGGTGAAAACTGGCAGGAGACTTCAGAGTCGGTTTTCACCAAATCTGTGCCAATATGATATTTCTAATAAAGCTATTATTTGAGGAATTTACCAGCCTGGGAGTTTTGCTTGATATGGATCTACTACTTGGAACCCTGACATTGGGTGCTTGGCAACCAGTGTGCATTTACAACAGCTGAAGCTTCCCGGAGTCTGGTGGTCCCCGTTTGCAACCTTCTCAGCCAGCTTCTGACAAGCAAAGTCAACAGGGAACTCCAGATTCACTTAACGAACTTGTGATTCACTTAACAATGGCAGCGATTGGCTAACCGCCCTAGCAAACATGGCAGGTGAGACTCAGTAATGACCTTGCTTAGCAAAAGAAATTCTGATCCCAATTTGGTCATAAGGCAAGGACTATGTGTGTGGCTCTGAGGCTGATTTGCTTTGCTTTGCACAGCCCCCACGAATCTGTGCAGTTTCCGGAGAACTTCAGAAGTTGACTCAACTCTTGTGCCAGTGGGAAAGTTGCACCCAGAGTTTTGCTACATTTTTTGGGAGTGTTGCAGCAGAGTCTGTTTCCATGAGGATTCTCTTGGGATTGCTCTCTCTTCCGGAGATGCAAAGGCACTGTGGTTATTGTGGCAAATCTTCCATCACATGGCTGTTCCACTACAACCTCCCCACCGCCACCTTTCACAGGGAAGCCCACTGGAGTCTCCTTCACACCCCACCGAGAAAAGCACATGAACCAACAGAAGAGCAATGAAGGGCGAAGAGTGCCAGCTAGCTGCCAGTTTTGGTGCTCTACCTTGGCCAGCTGGCTGGTTCAAGGGCAGGAAGCTAAGCTGACTTGCCCGCCCATCCTACTGTACAAAAATGTGGTTTATCATGTAAGCAGTGAGGCGAAACCACCAGCTGTGTAGTAAAGTCCTTTCTACTCCAAGATACTTCATACTTTTGCAAATATTTGAGTTTCCCCAAAGTGGATGATCCTGTCTCTTGTGGCACCATTTTGTTCTGATTAAGGATTCAAATTAAAAAAACACACACATCAGATTCCAACCTAGCGGCATAAAACAGTATTATCTCTACTTACTTAAATAAATTTTTAAAAAAAACCTCCCAAAGAACTGAATTGGCCTTGCAAGTAATTTGATACTGGATATTTACCGTGATAAATAGTGTATACATTTTAAATGAGAGGCTCCACCAAAGGAGGGCTTTCCCCCAGAGAATTGTCAATCCTTTACGATTGTCTGTTGTCCAAAAGAATTGGCTCTTGTGGGACACAAAACATCTCATTACCTGAGAGGCAAGCGAATGCAACTAAAAAGAGAAATGACATTCGAATGCATTTTGGAAAAAAAAAAATGAAGAGAGATGGGGAAATTATGTCATGCCAAAAGGGGTGCTGCAGATCTGTTCAGCCCTTAAGCACCTTGTGGAGGAATTGAGTATCAAAAGATCCAATGGGCTGAGGTAGATTCAGGGTAGAGTGAAAGCTAGATTTTCATTGCAAGCGCCGGTCCTTCACGAGATCAAAAGAGCAAAGTTCTTGTCTGCAGAGTTTTCTTCCTCTAAACCCCAAAGAGAGGGCAAGATAGGGAAGTGGGTTTGGACTAACACAATAGTCCTTGACTTACAAGCATTCGTTTAGTGGACAGCTAAAATTACAAAGGCACTGAAAAGGTGACTTATAATTAGTGTTTGTATTTACAACTCTTGCAGCATCCCTATGATCACGAGATCAAAAGCTTGGCAACTGACAGGTAGATAATAAGATGGTTGCAGTGTCCCAGGGTCGGGTGATGGGACCTTCATGGAAACCTGCATTTGTGACCTTTTCATCCAGCTTCCAACAAGCTAAGTCAATGGGAGAAGCTTGATTCTCTTAACGACTGCATGGTTCAGTTGATTGCAGTGTTTCGCTTAACCACCATGGCAAAAGATCGTAAACTCAGGCATGGTTCACTTAGCAACTGTCTTGCTTAAGCAATGGATATTCTGGTCCCAAGTGCAGTTGTAAGTTGAGGACTATTCCTGCTAGATAACCAAATCCACTGCGAAGATGGAGGAGTCAGAGCTGGCTCCATCCGCTTTCTTGGGGATGGAGAAACAAGGAAAGGGATAAAGGCGTGTGTATTTATCAGCACCTTGTCAGGTGGTCTCAAACATCTGCCTTGGATGGAAATTATAACTATCACCCTCCCACACAAAGCAGTAACATTCACAGTAAAATTCATCCAGCAGGCTGCCCATTTTTTGCCCTGATCCCCAAACCTTAACCAGGACCTACAAGACATAAAAGAAAGGAACAAAGCACCCCCCACCCCCGGTTGCTAAATCACCGTTGAATTACGAAAATGCTAGGCCGCCGGTTGCCATGGTAACTGTTCAAGGGTTATGATTACCGTGGCTCCCAAGGATACTCCCATTGGGGAACTCTTATTTGCCTATGGGGCAGGCCACGCCAGTGCCTTGCAGGCCGCAAAAGCCATCCGGGTTTTTGTGCAGATATTGCTGGTGGTAATCTTCGGCGTAGTAGAATTCGCTAGCCTCCCAGATCTCCGTCGTTATTGGCCCCAGTTGCTTCTTAGCCAACTCCTGCCAAAGAGGAGACAGAAACGCCTTTCAAAGAAAGAACAGATTGAAATTTTGCCCCCCTGCAGGGTCAACCGTGCTTAAGTTCTTCACTTCTAGGTTACAAATAAAAGAAAATACTGATAGCTCGGGATCGAAAGGAAGGATCCTTAGTGCTTTCTGAGCCTGGATGCTTTTTTGAAGACGGTTTCATTACCAAACTAGGTAACATCATCAGTGCTAGCATTCCATTCCCCACCAACCAGTCAGAGCTGAAGAAACTTCTTGGATAAGAAGTGAGACATCTTAAAAAAAAAAACCCCAGAAAGTCCAGTTGCCTCTTGAAAAAGCAACTTTGGGACAACCATGACCTGGATGACTGAGAATCTCCGTAGACATCTGCAAGAACATAACCAAGGTCAGAGAGCACTAAAGACCCTTGTAGTTTATCGTCACTCTCCATCCTCACTGTTTGCCAGGTGTAGCTTCTAGATAAGAGCCTCAGTATGCTAAACCCCTTTTATGATCCCGAGACAAGGAAAATCATTTAATTTATGTTTTATTTGAAATATTTCCATTTAAAAGGGATCTTTTACTTGACTTCACCAGTGAGAGGACCTGGAAAAAATGGCTTACGTTTACTTTTTAGGGTTCGCACAAGAAAGAACTTCAAAGTTCTTCCTCCCCCTTGCAAATAGCCCGTTCACATTGGAATTTCAGTGTTGGGAAAGAGAACGAATGTTTTTAAGAAAAGCGGGCACTCATAAAGAGAAAAGAAGTTTCTGGTCCTTGTGGCTCTGCATATTGGCTAGGAAAAGTGTGAACTCTGCAATCCATGGTATTGTAGGGCAGGAAGGATTTTTCCCAGTTTTGGGGGAATGGAGTAGCTGGCTCAGGATTTCTGGGAGTTGAAGTCCACAAGTCATAAAAGGGCCATCGTTCCCCACCTCTGTCCTAAGGTTTTGCTATGTTTCAATAGTTTTTAAGGAATCTTTTCTGACTTGAAACATGACTGCCAGAAGGATTGCCATGGCCTATGTGGCCACTTGAGGGCCTCCAAGATCCCTGTCTATTTACAGAGTTCTTTTCTCCAAAGCTTCCAGGTTGTTTCAGTAAGATGCATTCATTCAGAGTTCAGAAGGATAGAAGGAAAAAAGATAGGAATAGAGTAGAGTAGAGTAGAGTAGAGTAGAGTAGAGTAGAGTAGAGTAGAGTAGAGTAGAGTAGAGTAGAGCAGAGCAGAGCAGAGCAGAGCAGAGCAGAGTAGAATAGAATAGAATTGAATTGAATTGAATTGAATTGAATTCTTTATTGGCCAAGTGTGATTGGACACACAAGGAATTTGTCTTTGGTGCATAAGTTCTCAGTGTACATAAAAGAAAAGATACATCCGTCAAGAGTCAAGAATCATAAAGTACAACACTTAATAATAGTCACAGGGTACAATAACCAATCAAATCATACTAGAAAACAGTCAATAAAAATCATAAGGATACAAGCAACAATGTTACAGTCATACAGTCACAGGTGGGAGGAGATGGGTGATAAGGAGTGATGAGAAGATTAATAGTAATAGTAGTGCAGACTTTGTAAACAGTTGGACAGTGTTGAGGGGATTATCTGTTTAGCAGAGTGATGGTGTTCGGGAAAAAACTGTCCTTGTGTCTAGTTGTTCTGGTGTGCAGTGCTCTAAAGCATCGTTTTGAGGGTAGGAGTTGAAACAGTTTATGTCTGGGATGTGAGGGGACTGTAAATATTTCACAATGGGGTGGGTAGCATAATGGAACACTAGTAATTGTTGCTGGTATGATCCTGACTTCCACCAACAATACCAACTCTTCCAAAATCTGCAATCCATGCATCTGGATGTTCACACCATCTCCTTCTAATATGTACCCATACTGTACAGGTCGTCCTCGCCTTACGACCACAATTGAGCCCAACATTTCTGTTGCTAAGCAAGACAGTTGTTAAGTGAGCTTTGCTCCATTTTATGACCTTTCTTGCCACAGCTGTTAAGAGAATCCCTGCTCTTGTGAAATCAGTAACCCGGTTGTTAAGGGAATCTGGGTTTTCCCATTGACTTTCTTGGTCAAAAGGTTGCAAAAGGGGGACTCACGTGATTCCCCAAGACACGGCAACTGTCATAAATATGAACCAATGGCCAAGCAGCTGAAGTTTGATCACATGACCATGGGGATGCTGCAATGGTTGTAAATGTGAAGAATGATCATAATTCACTCTCTTCGGTGCCGTTGTAACCTGTATCTAAGACAGATACTTCCAAACAAGGCTTTTATCTTGCAATCTCCAAGAATCACCTTGCAATCTCCAAGGATTTTAGGAAGGACAGCGGAGATACAACTTTCTATTGACATGATCGCGGTGTTCCAATCTCTTCAGGGGTTGCCACAAAGAAGAAGGAGCCAAGCTATTCTCCAAAGCCCCTGAGGGCAGGACAAGAAGCAATGGGTGGAAACTAATCAAGGAGAGAAGCAACCTAAAACTACGGAGAAATTTCCTGACAGTTAAATCAATCAATCAGTGGAACAACTTGCCCCCAGAAGGGTTTCCAGGATGTTGAGAGACTGAATTATAGTTGGGAAAAACGTTCTCCACTTTCGAGATGGACATTTCAAAGGATCTGCTTCTTTCCCTCGTGGCATCCTTAAATCAAAGCCCGTGCTTTGATTTTGGCATCATGATTATTGGTGGGCAAGGTCATTTCCCAAATTGCAAATTTAGGGACTAGCAAATCACAAATTTAGGGATTAGGGATGGGATGATAGCAGTATTCCAGTATTTGAGGGGCTGCCATAAAGAAGAGGGGGTCGACCTATTCTGCAGAGTATCAGAAGGCAAGACAAGAAGCAACAGATGGAAACTGATCGAGGAGAGAAGCAACCTCGAATTAAGGAGAAACTTCTTGACAGAACAATTAATCGATTTGCCTCCGGAAGTTGTAAATGCTCCAACAGTGGAAATCTTTAAGAAGAGATTGGACAACCATTTGTCTGAAATGGAATAGAAGGGGGTTGGACTAGAAGATCTCTAATCTCCCTTCAGATCTGTTATGCTGTTATTCTGCTTAAGCAGTTCCACGCTGCTTCTTCCACCATTTCTCTAATTTTTCACCTCCTTGGCAATCTGAAGATGTATGGACTTCAATTCTCAGCGTTCCCCAGCCATTTTCAGGAGAGAAATACACCAAAACTGTCATGTAAAATAGACTTTACATCTTTTCCTTTGGGCTCTTAATACTACTCAGTATTGATGTCTTCCCATCTTCACTCGAGAACTGTTGTGTGGGGGAAGAGCATAATGCTTGGGCAACGGCAAACCATTTTTTTCATTACAGCCTATGAACGAAACACTAGGAGACTTAGATGAACATTGGCAGCTAGTCCCCTGTTAGCCCTTCAAGGCAGCCTTGATGAGAAGCACAACTGGGAATGTTGGCTCTTTGTTGCAAGGTTACATGAACAGCATCTTGCAAGATTCAACTTATTTGTCCTCTCCTTCCCTTGTACTTTCCAGGAAACTAAGGAAATAGCTTTCCCCACCCTCCCTCCTTCTGTGAGCTGAGATAATCTTTTACCCACCTGTTGTCCAGTCTGCAGCCATTTCCACATACCATTCAATCCTCCATTTCTTAAATGCATGGCTTCCCTGGGTCTTCCCTGGGACAGAAGGCTAAATACCATTTCTCTCCATTCATCAAAGGTCTAGAACAGGGATCCCAAACCCCTGGTCTGTGGCATGCCAGAAACCAGGCCACACAAACAAGCAAAGCCCCATCTACAGAAATGCAGGCAGCACATGAAACCACTCCCCGCTCCGGTCCACGGAAAAATTCTCTCTCCACGGAACCGGGTCCCTGATGCCTGAAAGGTTGGAGACGGTTGGTCTAGAAAGGCACCACCACAAAAATGCCACCCAGTGTCTCTGCTTCCATAGGATGAGTTTAGCAGAGACTGGTGGGATCCTCCCACCACCTTCTCCCTTTGTCATCTGCCCCTACCAGGTGAAAATGATTTTATCAGGGGGTGGGACTGCTGGGGGTTTGCAGGGGTTCGGGAGAGCCCCTAACTAAGATTCTGTGCAGTTCAGAGAACCCCCAAATCCCACCCTGGCTGGCCCTGCCCACTCTGCCCCTCCCAGAAATCCCCACGTGGCCTGTTTTGGATGCAGGTAAGTGCAGGACGCGCATGGGGGCTCAGGAAGGGTGGAAAACGGGCCTCCTGGGAGTTCAGGAAGGCCGGAAATGGGCCTGTTTCTGGCTTCCACAGAGCCTCTGGAGCCCAGGGAAGCTGTTTCCGCCCTCCTGGGGGCTTGAGGAAAGCCTCCGGAGCCCGGGGAGGGCAAAAACACCCCCCTCCCTGCTGTGGTACAGGAGGCTGACTAGGCCACGCCCCCCCATGGCCACGCCCACCCAGCAACTGGGCAGAGAACCCATTGCTAAAATTTTTGAAGCCCACCCCTGATTTTATCTCCTCTCCTGAGGAATAGTGGGGATGCAGAGGCAGAAAGAGGAGACGATTTACAATCATCCCTTTCGGATGAACCATTCAAAGTTAGAACAGCACTGGGAAACAAAAGTGATTTACGGCCAGTATTTACACTTAAAACCATTGCAGCATCCCTGTGGTCATGTGATCAAAGCTGAGGTGCTTAGCAACCAGCATGCATTTACGACAATCGCAGCGTCCCAGGGTCGTGTGGTTGCCATGGGCAACCTTCCCAGCAGGCTTCCAACAAGCAAAGGGTCAGGATTCCAAGTAACAGACCCAATACAATCAAAACTCGGAGGCCTAGGAGTTCCTCAAAGGACAGATTGATTAGCAGGGGTGGGATTCCACCAGTTCAGACCTCTTCGGGTGAACCAGATGTTAAATTTTCATCTGGTTCGCCGAACCAGTATTTGAACTGACGAGCTGGCCTCACCCAACCTGCCCCTCCCCTCTCAGGAGTCTCCACATGGCCCATTTTCAATGCAGGTAAGTGCGCGATCTCCACGGACGCTC